GGAGATTAGCGAAGTCTTTTTGGTGTTTGGTCGGTTGCTTTTTTTGTAGCCACCCTGTTCACAATTATGTAATGGCCCTTTTCTTTATATATATATATATATATATATGTGTGTGTGTATATGTATGTATATGTGTGTATGTATATATGTATATATGTACATACAAACAGAAAGGTGTATAGATAGATAAGTACAGTACACATAAGGGTAAAAGTACTTGATGAGATGTAGATCTCTTCCTTTTCCTTTGCATTGAAAAATGATTTATTTATATTATTACACAACAAGGGGTAGGACTAGATAAGTTGTATACTTCTTCCTACTCCTTTGAGCATATAACGGTGATGATGTTTGTTTTACTTACTTTTTATTTTTTATTTTTCCTTTTGTAACTTTTGCTTGCCTTTTGTCAAATTGTTATTGTATTGTATGTTCAATAAACTTCAACTTCAACTTCAACACACACACACACACACACAAAAAAAAAAAAGGGGTGACAGCACTACAAACTGAACTGAACTCAACTCAAATGTATTTATAGAGCACCTTAAAACAGCCATCACTGTATACAAAGTGCTGTACAAGGAGTAACTATCATATATACAACAATAAAGCAATAAATCAGGAACAAAGATGGTAGAAAGCACCAAACAGTAAGACTAAGATCAAATCTCAGTCAAATGCCAAAGAATACAAGTGAGTTTTGAGGCGGGTTTTAAAGATGGGCAGCGAGGGGGCTTGCCGAATGTTCAGTGGGAGGTCATTCCAGAGAGAGGGAGCAGCAACGGAAAAGGCTCGATCCGCTCTGAGCCTCTGTTTAGTTCTTGGTACCTCTCATAATGTCTGGTCCGCAGACCTGAGGCACCAGGCAGGTGTGTAGGGGCGGATGAGCTCAGAGAGGTAAGGTGGCGCGAGGTCATTTAAAGATTTGAAAACAATCATAGGATCTTAAAAAGAACTCTAAAATGTATACGGAGCCAGTGAAGGAATGCCAGTTTAGGAGTTATGTGCTCCGTCTTACGAGTACCAGTCAAGAGGTGAGCAGCAGCATTCTGGACCAGCTCGAGACGCTTAATGGAGGATTGGCTGACTCCAAAGTAAAGTGCATTACAGTAATCCAGCCGGGATGTGACGACGGCATGAATTACTGTCTCAAGGTGCTCATGAGAAAGGAGAGGTTTTACTTTGGCCAGCTGTCTAAGGTGAAAGAAGCTGGATTTAACAACGGCACCAATTTGCCGGTCAAGTTTAAAATCACTGTCCAGTTTAAGACCCAAGTTTGAGACTGTTGATTTCAGATAAGGAGACAGGGGGCCCAAGTCTACAGGACGGGATGTACAAACACGATCACTTCTGTCATCGTTTCATTGAAATTCAAGAAAATTTGTGCCATCCAGGTTTTGATTTCCTCCAGGCAGGATAAAAGTGGCCTTAATGAAAAAGCGTCTTTTTTGCTCAGTGGGACATATATCTGACAGTCATCTGCATAGCAGTGGAAGGAAATACCATGTTTCCTTCAGATGGAACCCAATGGGAGCAGGTACAGTGAGAACAGCAGAGGCCCCAGAAATGCCCTGTGGAACACCTCGTGACAGTGAGGCAGTACGTGACTCAGAGCAGCTAAGGCTAACACAAAAGGTTCTGTCCGCTAAATAGGACCTAAACCACTTAAGAGTGCTACCGCGAATGCCCACCAAGTGTCGCAAACGAGTCCACAGAATACTGTGATCCACTGTCTCAAATGCTGCAGTTAAATCCAATAAAACCAGACACACGTAGTCTCCAGTGTCATTTGCCAGGAGGATGTCATTAGAAACACAACAAAGCTGTTATGTGTGTAGTGAAGGTTCTGCTTACACGCACACTTCTTCCAATCAGAATTCTCACAGCGGCCAAATCGATTTCTGATTAATGTGGCGAAAAAGTGAAGACTTCTGCACTTTGAATAGCATTTTCTGTCATCGGGGACATCACCAGAGAACGCCATGACATTAAACAAGCCTTCAATGAGGGGTTTTGTGGAAAGAGAAAGTTGTTCGCGAATGCTGTTAAATAAATCAAGAAAGAATTGAACTCTTAACACCAGACACAAACAAAGAACTCAAATGTGGCTTAGCCGAACGGAAAAGACGAATAGAATCAACATTTCCAGGCTGGGGAAGACCGACGTACTCTTCGCTGTCAGTCATATTAGTTCAGGTAAGTACATTATACATAATCAAAGCATTCATGGATTATGCACGAACATGTTACAGCTGCAGTCAACCAGCATCCAGGTTAGCGTCCGGTCTCAAAACGGAAATAGCCGTGATATGAAGAAGTAAATGCCAATCTATGTTGTATTAATATTTTTAATTATTTTGGATCCTGGACTGGTTGCCAGCCAATTGCAGGGAACAGTCTGAATCCAATTTTTGGGATGAAGCTCTTTTAAGCATTAAAAAAAAAAAAAGTCATTTTAGAACCTAGACTATTTTTTTTCCCCTTTTAATTTTTTTTTTTTACAAATGTGTTTGGGGTTCTCAGTTAATTTGTTTAAATCTTGTCATTGTTCTTTCTTTTTGTAATTTTGGTGAGCTACTTTTGTTTTCTCTGTTTTACTTCTGAATGTCATTCACTATTCTGTTTGGAAATGCTCTTAGGTGTTGTGTCCCTGTTGGCGTGAAGCACATTGAGATGCCTTGTGTATGAAATGTGCTACCCCAATAAGGCCTTGCCTTGCCATAAAAAAAAGCTGCGTCACACACCTGCTATGTGTTTAGTCAGCAGGAGCAGTACAGGGGTGGCTCCTAAATCTAGATCAAATTGTCCCCTTACCCTTCTATGTTATCGAAAGCTGAGCGCACATCACTGGAGTTTAAAAAAAAAAAAAAAAAAAAAACAGCAGACATACGTTGTGTGGATGGGAATATTTTATTTTTTTTCTTTCTTCATGCAGTGGCATTTGTTGCATTTTTTACACTGGTTTCAAGCAATATCAACATTTTGAGTGTATGGTCACACATTTTAGGGGGCTCAGTGGTAGAGTCATCGTCTCCAAACCCAGAGGTTGGGGTTTCAATCCCCGGCCATTGCACCCATGTTGAAGTTTCCTTGAGCAAGATACTGAACCCCAAATCGCTCCTGATGCTGCATCTTCAGTTTGAGACAATATTAACCACATTTTTTTGGTTTAACTGTGTATAATTGTACAGCCACCCCATTGATTCAATTCAGATGAATTAAAAATTGAACAATCAATTGACCAGTCTTGAAAATCAGAAAACAGCTATTTTTGATGAATCCCATATCTTCTGTTTTTATAGACAATTGTAATCTCATTTATTGGTCTAGGTGGCAATTTCATTAAACTAAACAAAATGCAATTGCAGTTGCTTGAACAGTTATTTCCTGTGCTGCATTGTGCTTGGATCTTAGTACAAAGCAGACCAACAAAATATTGAATGTGTTGACCTGCACATGTATTCATTGGAAATGAACACCTTTGTTATATTTGCTTCTTTGCTGCCATTTGTGATATCTGAGGAAAGAGAAACAGAATAAACTCTTACTGACATTCAAACACATTGTTACGAGAAATTGGGCCTCATGCCTTTCACTCTGTTTGCTACCTGATTGTCAATAGACTGAAACTGCCAGTTCCAGCGTGTGTTGTAGAGGAAAGGGCGCAGGTCAAAGCGATTATCATCAGGACTATAGCTCTCAGCATGGTAGGATGGAGTCACAGTTGTCATCTTATGGCGGTTCATCGAGTACATTCTGAAGAAGTGCTTAACCTTCTGTGCAACCTTAAAAATTAGGTAACATGCAGTCATTCCTAAATGCACAAAATTCATTATCAGTTAATGAACTCCTTTGACAGTGGTGTCCAGTTATATATGCTAAATTATACACGATATGTGCTGAATTTAACATGAAGGCCGCTATTTTGAATTTAATTGAAAAGTCGGCTTCGCCTTGAAATACAAAAGGCGATTCCGGCTCTGGCCTCCCTGTGTGGAGTTTGCATGATCTCCCCGTGCCTGCGTGGGTTTTCTCCCGGTACTCTGGTTTCCTCCCACATTCCAAAAAACATGCATGGCAAGTTAGTGGAACACTCTTAATTGTCCCGAGGTGTGAGTGTGAGCACGCATGGTTGTTTGTCTATGTGTGCCCTGGGATTGGCTGGCAACCAGTTCAGTGTGCACCCTGCCTACGGACCGAAGACAGCTGGGACAGGCTCCACTGCACCCGCAGCCCTCGAGGACAAAAAGATTAGAAAATGGATGGATGAATGGATGTATTGTCCGCCATATCTCCTGTGCCTATATCTGTCATGCACCCAATGCCAGAGTCCAATGACTGCCGATATTTGCATGTGCTCTTCAGGCAGTGATCTTCAGAAATGTAATTGGAACAGCATCTTACAATAGCATCCAGAACCATCAACGTGCCCAATGCATAGTCACGATTCATCACTGAACATCACTTTCAGCCAGTCATCCGCAGTTCATGATGGCTTATCGTGAGCCTACTTTTGTGCTATTTTTTTCTCTTTAGGTTTTTGAGGATAACTTTCTTTTGGCTTTTCTGTCTGTACTGGTTGTGCTTTGTAAGAGCTATGCCTGTGTTTTAAAGAACTCAGTTGCATGGAATTGATTCCTCATGGAATTGTATATTGAAACATCAAATACAGTATAAGTGTACTATGAGTGTGCGAGAGATCACCAACCTCTGTGGGTGACAGCACATCCTTCCACATGTGAATGAGTTTACAGAACATGCTGAAAGGTCCACATTTAGAAATCTTCCTCAGTCGTCCAATTACTGACAACTCTGAATAGGTCATCCCCATGTCAGCCTGTAATGACATGAAAGAATATTACCAGACTTAATCAGCTGTTCATCAAACTCTTGCTCTCACTTACAAGCAGGTAGTAATTATACAAACCCCAATGCCAATGAAGTTGGGATGTTGTGGAAAACTTAACTTAAAAACAGTGTGGAAAGGATTTATATTCTATCTTCAATTAAATATACACCAAACACGAGATATTGAATGTTCAAGCTGATGGAAACACACACACACACACACACACACACAGACACACACACACACACACACACACACACACACACACACACACACACATATACGTATAACGTTCCAAAAAGAACCAGTGATAAGTGAAATCCGTGAAGTAGGATTTATAAAAATAAAAAAAAATAAAAAAAGCAAAAAAATGTGAGTGGGACGAAATTTCAAATGTGCGGCAGCACATTTGACAATAAAGTTGTACTTGGTACTTGATAGTCAGCTTTATTTTTTTACAGTTATTATGCAAGACTGAACTATGTATACAATGCAGAGGCGATTGCTTTAAGGCTGCAAGGGAACCTCAGCTTCCCCTAAAATGTCAAAAAGTAAGTGATCAAATATATGCATGTACGTACAATTGTGTGGACATGTCATTGACTAAATATGCGCTACAACACGCTCAACTTTTGTTCCGAATCAGCTTTTTATTACTAGTT